TCATACAGGTGAAGAAGACACCCTGGAAGTGGATTCCCAGTTCCTACTGTTCCAACCTCAGACATTAGAGTCACCCCCAGCTGTTCAGTTGTCCAAGCGGATGACGTGGAACAGAGCATAGTTTTTCCTGATAAGCCTTTTCCAAATTCCTGACCCAGTGTAAACAAGACAATGCCTATGACTATTGTAATGCTAAATTAATCACTGGATGCTAAATTGATGAATAAATTCATTACTGAATGCTAAATTAATGAACAATTATGTCACTGCATGTACTAAATATTTTTCTCCTCATTTTCCAATTCTAAACTAGTATGTGTAGTTTAAATTATCATTTCAAGAATATCCAACCAAAAACAAAAACCAGTCATGCCTTCGTCCGTTTTAAATCCTGACCAAGAAGCAATGGGAAGAACATTTAAAGGAACAAAAGCGGCTGCTCAGGAAATTCTATGATAGAGAATAGAAGAAGAGCTACCTACTCAGGGATAAACACAAAAGACTGATATAAACCGATAAGAATAGTGTCAGAATGGCTGTAACTTGGGTGGAACTGAGATTGTGAAACATGCTATAAACAAAAAGGGCTTTTATATCTATATTTGGAGCAAGAAGAAGAAGGAAGAAACAGGCCCATTGCTTAGCATAGATGGTGTAATATTAACAGATGACCAAGAGAAAGGAGAACCTCTCAACTTTCATTTGGTTTGTCTTCTACAAAAACAATGATGCTCAAAATTAAAATGATTTAAGGGTACAGTTAGGAGGAAATTGAGGCCCCAAAGAAGTAAAGAATAATGAGAGAACACTAACTCAATTGAGAGGTTTAAGATCCCAGATTTGGATGCAGTCCATCCCCCAAGAGGCTGAAAGAAACTAGAGAGATAGTTTTGGAACTACGGTAGATGAACTGTGAAAAAATTTAGAAAATAGGAAAAATACTGGGGATAGGAAAATCCCATCTGACTTTCAAGAAATGTGAAAATGTAACTTTGAAAACTATTCACCGATGACTTTGATATTAGTCACCCTGATAAGGTTCTGGATTCTATATTCTTCAGATAATTTGTGAGCACCAAGTAGTGGGAGCAGAGAAAACTACTCATGCTAAATAAACCTCATTTCCCTTTTTCATAGTGTTACAATAGAATTACAACACTGTTAAAGAGGGGAACTTTTAGAACTTGCTTTCTGCTTGACTTCAAGAGAGAAACATAGTCTTTCAGAACATCTTTTCAGATCATATAAAGAAAACTGAGCACAGTGTAGAAATTTGGTGGGTGTACCGATGTTTGAACGTTAATATTAATTAAGTGTTGATTTAGGTGATGTCAGCAAAAATGGCAAAGGAAGTACTTATGAAAATTCACTCCTACATAAAAGCAATTTTTAAAAACCAGCAAAAATTGTCAGAATCAACTTTTTAAAAAACTCTGTAACTTAACCAAAGGCTTGCCAAAAGTTGAGGAATGCTTATTCAAGAAAAATGGCTGAATCTTGGTGAGAAGAGTCAGCTCTGTGATTTTAACTTGCCCTAGTCTTGTTCCCAACTCTCCAGCTCTGTTGCAACTCTAGAAATAGTCTCACATTCCCACTGAAGCCCAGCAGCCACTGGAGGGAACAGAATGGAGCCGGAGCTCTTTCCAACTCTTATTCCCCAAAATTGTCGTTATTGGCACTGACTTGTGGTTCCTTGAAAGACCCAGCTTACAAGGCTGTCTGCATTTGGCTTCACGTGGAGCTTACCAAGTGTGAAAAGCCAGCTTCTGAGGTAATTTGTCAAAAGTAGTTACAAACTGTTTTAATTTTGCAGCTGCCTGAGGTACTGGATAGCTATTAAAGTAAATAACAGACTAACTAAAAAGTTTAAAAGGAAAAATGGGGAGATAAAAGCTCTAGGGTGATAATGTGAGAGCTCTGTCTACCCACTTCCCAGAACGACAAGCAAAGCTGGTGGAAATTAAAATAAAGAAAGAAAGAAAACTTACAGTCTCTGAAAATTGTTCTAATGGCAAATAGCCAATGAAGAAACATTTATTCAAGAAAACCTTGCCCCTGTCCTCCGAAGAGCAACACCAAAGATTTCACACTGAGAGGAAATAAAATTAACTAAAATAACTTAGTCAAGGCATGAAACAAGCAAACATACACCAACAAAAACAACCCCCAGGGAAGAAGAAAGGGAATCGGTATCCACAGTTACTACAGTACAAAATATTACCTAAAATATCCAATTTTCAATAAAAATTATGAAATGTAAGGCAACAGAGACTTCCTGTGAGAGGGAGCAGATGTCAAGTTTAACATCCTGCTTAAAGAAATAAAGGAAGGTATGACGATAATGTCTCATCAAATAGAGAATATCAATAAAGTGGAAAATTATTTAACAAAAACAAAACAAAACAAAACAAAGAAGGGCCAAATAGAAATTATGGAGTTGAAAAGTACATTAACCCAAAAAAAATATTCATTATAGGGGCTCAACAGAAGAAAGTATCAGAAGAAAGAATCAGCAAACTTGAAGATAGAGATTATGGAATCCAAAAAAACAGAGAGAAAATAGAATGAGGAAAAATAAACAAAGCCTCAGAGGAAAGTGGGACATCTTTAAACACACCAACATATCTATAATAAGAGTATGAGAGGAGAGGAGAGGAGAAAGAGAAGGGACCAGGAAAAAAAATAAAGAAAAGAAAACTTGGCTAAAGGTTTCCCAAATGTGCTGAAAATTGTTAATCTATACATCCAAGAAGCTCAACAAACTCTATAAGAGATCCAGACCCAAATTCATTGTAAAAGTGTTGAAAGACAAAGAGAAATCTTGGAAGCAGCAAGAGGAAAAAGGTTCATCACATGCAAGGGAAATTACAATAAGACTAACAGCAAATTTCTCATCCAGAACAATGGAAGCCAGAAGACAGTGGGATGACATATTCAAAGTACAGTGGATTCTCATTATATATGGTAGTTATATTCTATAAAGTCACTGCAAACACTGAATTAGCTAATACTGAGTCATTGCTCCTAGGGGTAAATGCAGAATTAAGTTTCTGCCAGCCTCTGGTCATAATATTTTTGTCAACCAATCAATATATAATCTTGTTTTGCCCTGGCTGGTGTGGATTAGTGGATTGGGTGCTGGCGTGTGTACTGAAAGGTCATCGGTTCAATTCCCAGTCAGAGCACATGCCTGGGTTGCAGGCCAGGTCCCCACCTGGGGGCATGCAAGAGGAAACTAATCAAGATATCTCTTGCACGTTAAGGTTTCTCTACCTCTTTTTCCCTTCCCTTCCCCTCTCTCTAAACATAAATAAACAAGATCTTTAAATATAAATATATATAAATAATCTTGTTTTATGGTGTTTCTGTCTAAAGATATTTTATTTAACATATGTTATTGATTAATTAACATTGCACTTTCAACCAACAGCACTATAACACATGCTTAAACAAAGTTTATCTAAAACATGTATTTTCTCTGTAAGGCACATCACAGCCTTCTTAGGAAAACTTGACAGCACTTCAGCACAATGTTTGGGGGCCATTTTAAACAGCAAAAGCACCCCAAAAAAACACAAAAATTCAAATCTGTGGCACTAAATAGATCATAACAAGGACACTTGTTTACAGTGTAAGAGTCGAAAGAAGAAGGCAGAGCATCACCTTGTTCAACTTCAGCTGGAAACAGGCATATCTAGTGACCTAAATTTCTGCTACTTTGCATTTGTCTGCAAATGACTGTGAAAGTACCATGAGTATTGATTTGGGTATTATCAATAAAAATTAGCTATTAAGCAAATTTGTAAATACAGAAATTGTGAATAATGAAGATCAACTGTACTGAAAGAAAAAAATTGTCAACCAAGGAAATCTTATGTCCAGCAAAACTACCTTTCAAAAATGAAAGTGAAATAAAGGCATTCTCAGCATTCTCAGATAAACTAAACTGAATTTGTTGCTAGCAGATCTGCCTTACAAGAAATACTAAGAAATGTATCAAACTAAGCTGAATGGGGATAAACCGAGATGGAAAGTCAAGTCCACATGAAAAACAAAAGCACCAGTAAAGGTGACATATCATTATGTCAGTATAAATACGTATATTTTTTTCTCTTAAATGATTTTTTAAAAAACTGTATAAAACAATATGTATACAATTGTATTGTTGGGCCTATGACACATAAGAATGTAATATATTTGACAACAACAGCACAAAGAAAGTGGGTGGGACCAATGTTGCACTGGTGTAAGGATATCACACCAGATTTGAATAACCTGAACCAAAAGAAACAAACGAAGAGAACCAGAAAAGGTGAAATAAATATAAGAAAGTCCATAAAATATATACCTGCTCTCCTGTCTTTTCTCAGCTTTTTTAATAGATATAAAATTATACAAGGTGATAACACTGTATTGTTGGGTTTTTAACATGTAGTAATACGTATGACAATAATAGCACAAAAAGGGGAAAAACTAATACAGCTATAAGAGTAACATTCTATATCTCAATAGCATTAAATTAGTATATATTTGAAGTAGATTCTGCTAAGTTAATATGTATATGGTAAATAAACCCTAGAGCAATCTTTAAGACAATAGCTCAAAAACACTAAAAAAATAATTAAAAGAAAACACTGCACAAAACATATTTACTTAATGCAAAGAAAACAGTAAAGGAAGAAGAGAGAAAAAAGATATAGGACACATATGAAAATAAAAATTTAAATAGTAGATAAAAATCCAACTATATTAATAATGTTACATGTTCATGGATAGAACATTCCAATAAAAAGGCAGAGATTATACCCTGGCTGGAGTGGCTCAGTGGATTAAGAGCTGGACTGTGAACTGCAAAGTTGCTGGTTCAACTCCCAGCTGGAGCACATGTCTAGGTTGTGGGCCAGGTCCCTGGTTGCAGATGTGTGAGAGGGAACCAATCGATGTTTCTCTCACTTTCTTTCTCCCTCCCTTCTCCTCTCTCTAAAAATAAATACATTTTAATTGCTTCTCAGCCTTTTGGCTAAGATCAAGTGTAGTATCTGTTCTTTTTAGTTTAATATCTTATATGTCCTCTACCTGAGGACATTATATTAAATGGGTTTTCAGAGCTAGGAGATGGAATAGGAGCTTGCTTCGTCCACTCTGCGCATCGACCCAGTATTGCAGTACTTCCAGAAAGGGCGCACAATAAATAAATAAATAAATAAATAAATAAATAAATAATAAAATTTTAAAAGGCAGAGATTATTAGGCTGGACAATCTACAGGAGATACACTTTAGAATGAAAGATACAAATAGGTTGAAAGTAACAGTATGGAAAAAAATATATCATGCAAAAAGCAACCCTAAGAAACTTTGAGTAGCAATACTAATATCATACAAAATAGACTTCAAAACCAAAAAAAATAAAATGTTACTGCAGATAAAGAAGGACATTTTATAATACAAAGATCAACCCGCCAGGAATATATAACAATTGTAATCATATATGCACCTAACAACAGAGCCCCAAAATATATGGAGCAAAGGCTGACAAAATTGATGGGGAAAATAGTAAGTTTAACAATAATAGTTGGATATTTCCATTCCTCGTTTTCAGTAATGGATAGAATGACTAGGCAGTAGAGCAACAAAGAAACAGAAGACTTGAACAACAGTAAACACAAACTAGACCTAACAGACATCTATAGAATGCACAACCTAACAACAGTAGATATACATTTTTCTCAAGTGCACGTGAGACATTCTCCAGGATATACCATATGCTAGGCCACAGAACAAGCCTCATTTAAAAGGACTGAAATAATAGAAAATCCGTTCTCTAATCACAATTTAATAACAAAGAAATTTTGGAAATTCACAAATATGTGGAAGTTAAACAACACACTATTCAAGTGACCAATGAGTCAAAGGAGAAATCACAAGAGAAATTAGAAAGTGCTTTGAGGTAAATGAAAATGAAGATGCAACATACCAAAACTATGGGATGTAGCTGAGCAATGCTTAGAGGGGAAATTTATAGCTATAACAACTATAAATTTGAACTATAATAGCTATAAATTTAAGCCTTTATATGAAATGCTTATATTAGAAAAGAGGAAAGATTTCAAATCAGCAACCAAATTGTCCATCCTAAGACACTGGGAAAATAAATGCAAGCTAAACCCAAAAACAAGCAGAAAAAAAGAAACAATACTTAGATCGATAGAATAATATTGAGAGCCCAAAAATAAACCCATATATCTATGGTCAGTTGATTTTCAACAACAGTGCAAGACAATTCAATGGGGGAAAGAATAGTTCTGTCAAGAAATGGTATTAGGATAACAACTGGATATCCACATGCTAACTCACACCATATACAAAGTAACTCAAAATGGATCTAAGACCCAAATGTGAGAAATATAGCTATACAGCTCTTAAAAGAAAACATAGGCATAAATCTTCCTGACATTGGAGTAAGCAGCAGTTTTTCTCAGCTATGAAACCTAAGCACAAGCAATGAAAAAAAAATAAATTGGACTTCATCAAAATTAAAACATCGTGCTTCAAGTAATGAAAAAGTAATCCACTGAACAGAAGAAAATATTTGCAAATCAGATCTCGATAAGGGTCTGATATCCAGAATATATGAAGAACTTTCATAACTCAATAACAAAAAGATTAAAATCCCAATTTTAACATGGGCAATGAACTCGAATAGGCATTTCTCCAGAAAAGATAAACAAATGTTCAATAAGCACATAACCATCGGGAAAATGCAAATAAAAACTACAAGACACCACATCACACACACCTACCAGAGTGGGTATAATTCTTTTAAAAAGACAGACAATAACAAGTGTTGGTGAGGATGTAGAGAAATTGGAACCCTCATACACTGTTGGTGGGATGTAAAATGGTGCAGCCACCGTGACAAAGTCTGGAAGTTCCTCAAACGGTAAACAGAGTTACCATATAAACCCAACAACTCCACTTCTAGGTATACAACCAAGACAATAGAAGACATGTGTTCACACAGAAACTTGTATTTGAAAGTTCATAGCAGCATAATAGTAAAAAATCCATAATAGTCAAAAATTGGAAACAACCCAAATGTCCACCAACAGATAAGTGGATATATACATGTGGTGTCTCCATACAGTCAAATATTATTCTGGCATAAAAATGAATGAAATACTCACACATGCTACAAGATTTACATGGGTAAATCTTGAAAACATGCTAACTAAAAGAAGACTGACATAAAAGGTCACATATTATGTGATTTCACTTATATGAATATCCAAAATGGGCAAATTTAGAGGGACAGAAAGCAGATTAATGGTTGCCAAGAAGAGAAGGATGGGAGAATGGGAAGGGGAGTGACTGAATGGGATTTCTTTTGGGGGTAATGAAAATCTTCTGGAATTAGATAGTGGTGATGGTGGCACAACCTTGTGAAAATATTTTTAAAAATCACTGAATTGTACCCTTCAAAATGGTGAATTCTATGGTATATGAATTATAGCTCAATTAAAGAGTTGATCTCAGCCCTGGCTGGTGTGGTTCAGTGGACTGAGCTCTGGCCTGTGAAACAAGGGGTCACCAGTTTGATTCCTGGTCAGGGCACAGGCCTGGGTTGTGATCTGTCCCTGGTTAGGAGCATGCGAGAGGCAACCAGTCGATGTATCTCTCACACATTGATGTTTCTCTCCCTCTCTTTCTCACTCCCTTTCCGTCTCTCTAAAAATAAGTAAATAAATATCTTTTTCTTAAACAAAGGTTGATTTCAGCCCTGGCTGGCTCAGTGGATAGAGTGCTAGCCTGTGAATCAAAGGGTCATCAGTTTGATTCCCATTTAGGGCAAATGCCTGGGGTGCAGGCCAGATCCCCAGTAGGAGCCGTGTGAGAGGCAACCACACACTGATGTTTCTCTCCCTCTCCTTCTTCCTCCCTTCCTGTCTTTCTAAAAATAAACAAATAAAAAAATATTTTAAAAAAATTTTTTAAGTTGATTTCAAAGAATGAAGTATTAATGTACACAAATTAATCTCAAAAATACTATACCGAGTGTACAAAGTCAAACACTAATACCACATACTCTATCATTTTGGTTATATGAACTCCTAGAAAAAGCAAAACTAGAGTGACTAAAGTAGTTCAGTCATTACCTGAAAGACAGTCACTGGAAGGGGGCTTCTTAGTTTAAAGAAATCGTCCTATATAATGACTGAGATAATTGTTACATGATTGTATTCAATTACCAAAATTCATCAAGCTGTATACTTAAAATGGATGGATTTTTATTGGTAATTAATACCTGAAAATTAAAAACAGTCAAAATGTGATGTCAACTTAGGGACGTGTTTCTAATAGTAGACGTGGAATATCTGCGTATCTTTTGCAGTTAGGCCTGCATATACAAAAATCTCCAAAACATCAATTTTGTGAAGTAGACAGAATCAGGTTTATTACCACAAATTTGCATTTAATAAAACTATAGTTTAGAAGACTTATACCACCCGCCCAGTTTCACATATAAAAGCATTTAAATCTCAACATTTTCTTTTTCAGATGAGAAAACTTAGGAAGAAGTTGAACAAGTAAAAAGTATTCAAATACAGGCATTCTGGTTCCAGAGCCTGTATTTGTTTTCCTTTGTTTTTTTTTCTTTTCAAATTAAAGGGAAGCAAACTGACATGGGCCAAACAATACATAGCGCCTCTGCAGGGTGAACATGGGCTTCAGCCACCTGCTTATATAGCCTCCACTCGAGAGTCAGATAGGCATGCATTTGAGTCCCAGGCCTGACATTTACCAAGTGTGTGGTTTCAAGCAAGTCACCCATCCTTTCCAACCCAGCTTCCCCTTGTGTGGAAAGAGGTTGACATCTAGTTTACTAGGCTAGTGTGAAAATCAAATGAGATCACGTACCCCCAAAAATCTAGCACTTGGGCGACACCCAGTTTTCCCCTCCAATTTAGCCTTTGCCTACGTGGCACAAAGGTGCTCAATAAATGTATGTTGAAATAATCCAAGCTTCTGCAGTTAATAGAGTGTACCTCATGTCTCCACAGTTCTGGGAAGTGAATTCTCAGAGGCAGAAAACGAGGAAGCTTGCAGGCCCCACACTTAGCACTCTATTACCCCACAAATGAATCTATAATGACAAATTGTGCTCAGTGGCATGAAAGAAAAGAAGTCCATATGAGCAGCATATATTTTAGATCAGAGGCTCAAGATAAGTCTTGAGGTTATACAAATATCCAAGACCCCACCTACTCTGATCCAAATCTATCTTGTGTAGAGGTTATTGGGCCAGTACAAAAGAAGCAATACTCCTACTATTCTCCTGCTGGTCAGACAACATATAGAAAATGGCATTCTGCCCTGACTGGTGTGGCTCAGTGTGTTGGGCCACAAACCAAAAGGCTGCCGGTTTGATTTCCTTTCGGGGCACATGCCTGGGTTGGGGGCCGGGTCCCCATTTGGGGGCATGCGAGAGGCAACCAATCAGTGTTTCTCTCCCTCTTTCTCTCTCTCCCTTCTCCTTCTCTAAAAATAAATAAATAAATAAATAAATAAATAAATAAAGCAAGCTTTTTAAAAAATGGCATTTTATTTTCATGATGCATTTTAACAGGAACAGTCTCAACCCTGAGCTCATCCAGGAAAGCAGATCCCAGCTGATAAAGGCTGTGCAGACCATGCCATAAATATTCAATTCCCTCACTCAACAAATATTTATTGAGTGCAAATAAACACTACTTGATACCAAAGAGGGTTTAAAAATAAGGACACCAGCATTATGGCCTTCCAGAAATTTTACAATCTAGTGGGGTGGGCAAGATGAGTACATAAATAAATATAATACAAATTTGACATTTGCTCTAAGACATAGAAATACAGATATAGCACATGCAGCTGAAGGATACCAGAAACACCTCATGAAGGGGTGTATTTGAGCTAATCCTAGATATAGAAAGGATTCCTTTCATTGAAAAACCCATCCCCCATAAGGGGCATCCCAAATAACAGAAACAGCGTGAGCAAAGGTGCAGCAGGAATGTATATGGTATGCAAGCCTTGGAGAAATTCAGTTTGGATAGAGCAAAAGGTTCATTTCGAAAATGAGCCTGAAAAGATAGATTTGGATCAGAGTAGGTGGGGTCTTGGATATTAGTAAAGGAATTTGGACTTCATTTGGT